GTGGGCCTTGGAGTAGGGGCAGGTGGTCTATTTATAATGAAAGACCGACTTCCAAGTTTTTTCTTTATACTCAGACTGGCCAGTATTGTGTCATATTCATTGTCATCTATCTCAGCAAAAGTATATGGGTCTTCCTCCTCCTCCTGCTTCTTTTCATCTTCTTTTTCATTCTCCTCTTTGGGTTCAACTTCTGTTTCTTGTCTTCCATCAGGATCACACCAGTTTTCATTTTTTTCCATTTGGCCTTGCAATGTTGCTCCTGCTTGTGAAATATTCAGATTATATTTAGTCTTTCATGATATGTAATATTATTGCTGCCTATTTGTCAATTGGGAGCTCTGATGGCATAGTGCCTAAGACATTTGACTGCTTAACCAGAAGGCTAGTGGTTCAAACCCACCATCCACTCCTTGGAAGGAAAATTGGGCAATCTACTTCCATAGTGATATTGCCTCAGAAATCCAAGGAAGGGTCGCTATGAGTTGGATCCGACTCAGTGGCAGTGAGTTTGGTTTTTGGTTCTGGCATCTGTCAATTACCTGAACTTCTCAAACAGGTTTAATCAGATGTCATAGAAAACAATGTAAAACTATCTGCCTCTTGAAAAATAGTTTATGTATTACCTCATAAATTCCAAAAATGGAAAATCATGCCATAATTTTACTAGCATATCCTCCTGCAGTTTGTAATTGTTAACCTTGTTAAGGAAAAACACTTAGTTTGCTTAAGATGAACTTTTTTTATGGTGCATATTTTTCCGTATTACTTTGTATGTTATAGTTTATAAATGATTTAATATAAGGAAATTAAGTTATAAAGTCTCCAATTGCAAGCACTCTGGAAACTCGTGTTTTTCAAGCATAATATTGTGAAATTTTTCTTTCATTTGAAATCATGTTACTTTTCATAGAATTTGCACTAGGTATTTTGCCTAAAACACAATTTCTCTGAAAATGAATGCAGAATGACCAAAGGCACCATTATCTGGTCTCTAGCAGTCACTCACTCTGGCTATGAAAAATCGTTTTCAAAAATTCAACTCTTGATTTCTACAAGGCAACATGAACCTTATTTTTAGGTGAAGGACAGTGAAAGTACAGTTGGTAATTTCATGACATAAATGATGCATGAATAATCAATGATTTGAGGATTAATTCACATGAAAAAGTAAAATTGTTGGTTTTATAGTCCTTGATAATTTTTCCATTCAGTAAAATCTTTATGTATTTTTATAAAAGTGTGTTAAATATTTCAGTAGCAATTATTTAGTCAGAATATACTTTGGTTAATAAAGAAGTTGAGAATTTCATTGGCTCTCTATCAGGCCAATGGAAGCTGTTTTTTGTTTGTTTGTTTTTCAATCTTTCCTTTGACAGGTATTTTGCTTAAAGTGTTAGTAAAAATAACAAGATAGAAAGCATTTGCCTTATTGGCCAAAAAAAAATATTGCTTTTCTGTGGTATTCTAAGAAATTTGTTCATGTTAGCTGTCTTGGTGCCTCTTTGCTCGGTAAATGAGTCTGACTCAAAAAAAAAAAAAAAAAAAGCTTACTTAAGGGTATTCTCTGGTAGCATAGTGGCTAAGACACTTGCCTGCTAACCAGACGGCTGGCGGTTCAAATCCACCAGCCACTCCTCGGAAGGAAGTTGGGCAATCCTACTTCCGTAGTGATACTGCCTCGGAAACCCAAGGAGGGGTCGCTATGAGTCGGGGCCGACTCGATGGCAAACAACAACAACAACAACAGAGGAAAACCTTAGATGCTAATGGGAAAGACAAGTTGCAGAGCAAAATAAATGGATATTATCATAAGACCAAAAACCAAACCAAACTCATTGCCATTGAGTCTATTTCGACTCATAACAATCCCTCCTTGGGTTTCTGAGGTGGTATCTCTATGGAAGTAGATTGCCCAGTCTTCCTTCTGAGGAGTGGCTGGTGGGTTTGAACTGCCAGCCTTCTGGTTAGCAGTCAAGTACCTTAGGCACTATTCCTTTTAGATGGGTTCATGAAGAGAGATTAAAACCATCTCCTAATAGAATTTTAGACCTGATTTTTCCAGTTATTTTAACCTAAGAAGTATTAATTGCCCATATGCCTAGCACTAACTTTGGTATCAACATAACTTGCCTTTTTCCTGTGAATAATATGACTTTGAAATTTTGACTTCATGACTTTATTCTCTGACAGCAGCACAGGTGAAACCAGATTAAATGTGTGGGAAATACTTTCACAGACTTCATTTTTAGTGCAACTGTCAACTCTTTGCTTTTGTGAACTGATTTCCTGAGCTGTTAACTACCTTTGTTTCCCCACCCACTTCCTTTTCCAAGTATCTAAAGTTGGTCTTACACTAGAAATGATACATTTTACTTTTTATTTTTTAGTGTCACTTCATACTTTTTATTTCAGATCAGGTCCTGGGCTTTCTTAATTCACATTGTACATTCATAAATAAAGATTAAAATAAATCTCTCCTGTAGGAGCTCTAGGAGCTCTGATGGTGTAGTGCCTAAGACACTTGACTGCTAACGAGAAGGCTGGCGGTTCAAACCCACCAGCCACTCCTCGGAAGGAAGGTGGGGCAATCTACTTTTGTAGTGATACTGCCTCGGCAACCCAAGGAGGGGTCGCTATGAGTCAGGTCCGACCCGAGGGCACATCAAAACAACAAAGTAGGAGCTCTGGTGGGGTAATGCCTAAGACACTTGACTGCTAACCAGAAGGCTGGTGATTCAAACCCACCAGCCTCTCCTCAAAAGGAAGACTGGGCAATCTATTTCCATACAGATACCGCCTCGGAAACCCAAGGAGGAGTTGCTATGAGTTGCAATGACTCTACAGCAGTGAGGTGTTTTTTTTTTTTGGCAATTCCAACTTTTGAAATTATTGGAGTGAAAGTGTGTTTGACAGAGAAGAAACAAAAAGGCTCAGGAAACCTGTACATGTGAATAAGTAACTGACACATTAAAATTACCGGCTCTATAGTCTTGGGTCTGAGTCCAAGACCATGTATGACTCATCTACAGAAACAAACAAACAAACAAAAATCCCGGTTGACACCACCTCATGGAGAGTTGACTCTGACTCATAGTGACCCCATGTGTGTCAGATGGAACTATTCTCCATAGGTTTTTAATGGCTGGTTATTTGGAAATAGATCACCAGGCCTTTACTCCAAGGTACCTTTGGGCAGATTGTAACTTCTGACGTTTTAGTTAGCAGCCAAAGGGTTTTGAACTGGTTGCATTACCCAGGACTTCTGACTCATCTATGGAGATGGGATAATAATAATGCTGGCCTTATAGAGTGGTTGTGAAAATAAAAGGAAACAATATGTTATTTACGAATTAAAAAGTACTCTGCAGTGTTATATATTATCATTTTCTCTAATAAGTATGCCCATAAAACCATCATCAGAGTTTTGATATTTAGGCTATTACTGTGGTGCTCTTTTTATTAACTTAAGGGCAGATGAAAGCTACTCTTAAAGGGCAATTCCTAAAGGTATCACTAGCTAATGTCAAGGAACCCATGCATAGTCACTGATAAAAAAAATAGTGATAGCCTACAATATTACTGTTAAAGACCTTAATTTAAAAAAAATAAAGAAAAATACTGGCATTTTGCTTTCCATTTATTTACAGTATCAGCCTTATGAGAAGATGAGATTAAAGATAACATTGCATGTAAAATGTAAAAAGAGAGTACCCAAGTTTAAATTAAAGGAGTAGGCTTTTTGTTTTATTTTGCTTTTTAGATTTGGTACTTTGCAGGAGATATATTGGCCAACACTATGCTTCTGATTTTAGATAGCTGGTGACCATTCTCTGTAAGGTAGTTGTGGACATCTTAACTAGTGTATCACATATAGAAATTTACACTAAGAAGAATATGATCTCCTTTTAAGAGAAATAATGACACAAGACTAACTTGGTTTCCAAACAACTGACTATAATAACTGCATAAAATTATTTAAATCTATAAAAATGAGAAAAATATATCAGAATTTTGCTGTGTGTGTATTATTAACCTATGTTTTTCCTCCCAAATATTAATATGCCTATATCATTGATATATTTCAAATATCTACAAGAGCTTGGCACACAGTAGATGATCAATAAATATTCATTTGATGAGAAAATGAATCAGAATAGTGTTAATTAGGTTTTCTCTACTTTCCATTAAGCTGTACTTCACATCGCTAAATATAGTGTATAAATTTAACAAAGGTTTATGTTGATTAACTTAGGCCTTCACAGAGATGAAAACTTCAAGGACACAAATGCTAAATTTCATGGCTTCAGAATTCACTCTTTGAAACAGTGTAATAGACTTTCTCCGTACCTTCTAGGACTGAACAACTACGGTATAATGACAAGTGTGATTTTGTTAATGGCTATTTTTAAAAATTCTTATTATTAATTTTTTTTTTTTTTAGGAACACATTTGAATTTGGGAAGTAAATATAAAACAGTAATGAATAAAGTAGGAGCTCTGGTAGCATAGTACCTAAGGCACTTGACTGCTAACCAGAAGTCTGGCGGTTCAAACCCACAAGCCACTCCTTGGAAGGAAGGTTGGGCAATCTACTTCCTTAGTGATACCTCCTCAGAAATCCAAGGAAGGGTTGCTATGAGTCAGGTCTGACTCCACGGCACATAACAACAACAACAATAATGAATAAAGTGAGGTTAATTAGTGCCTCTAAGCAAGGAGCTCTTGTGGCATAGGAAGGAAGACTGGGCTATCTATTTCCTTAGAGATACTGCATCAGAAACCCAAGGAGGGGTCCCTATGAGTTGGAACTGACTGGCTAGCAGTGAGTTTGGTTTGATGGTTTTTTCTTTGGAAGCATGAACCAGGAGCTGGAAGTTTCTCAGGTTGATGAACACTCCAAGCAGATTAGCCTAAGATGGTGGCTCTTCATGTTATCTAGAGAAATTTTCCTCCCACTGCACTCCTTAAGGAGACTCTCCCTGGGTGGCACAAATGGTTAAGTCACTGGACTGTTAGTGGAAATATTGGTGGTTCATATTCACATAAAGGCATCTGGGAAGTAATGCCTGGTGATCTATTTCGGAAAGGTCACAGCCTTGCAAACCCTATAAAGCAGTACTGCTCTGCATATGTGGGCTAGCCATGAATTGGAAGCTACTCCACAGTAACCATCAATAGCAACAACACTCCTTAATTCTTAAGTCCTGGAACAAATGTGACTACAGCCATGTTAACTGTTCTTCCAGTTAAGCAGCAACAGAGTATTCTTAGACTTTGGTCTTAAGAGTCAGCTACAAATGCAATGTGTAATAAACTTTTTACTGCTTGATACCTCAACAGCTATCAACTAAAAAGTCCCCAAGATCATTTTTAATTAATCTGTAAAACGTTAGTTAGTCTTTACCTCTGGCCAAAACTCTAAGAACATTATTTAAATAACTGATGTTGCTTCTATGTGAAAAACTACAGATTTTATTCCTTCCAACTTTTCTTTATTTACTTTAAGTTTTATATTGAGATTTTTTTCCTAAAGTTAAAAAAAAAAAAAGTAGGGGCAGGCATATATTGCTTCCTAGTATCTTTGTCAAAGAGACAGCAGTTGTGGTTCAGTGGTATTATTCTCACCTTCCATGGTTTATACCTCTAGGCAGCCACCACTCATCTGTCAATGGAGACATGTGTTGCTAGAATGCTATGATATAGGTTTTAGCAGAATATCTAGACTAATACAGACTAGGAATAAAGGCCTAGCAACATATTTCTGAAAATCAGCTAATTAAAACCCTATGGATCAAAGATGTGTGATCATGGGGGTAGCTCAGGACTGGGTAGCATTTCTCAGTTGTGCATGGGGTCACCATTTGTCAATGGCTGCCTCTATGGCAGCCAACAGAAACAATAGCAATATTTGTTAAAGAACAGATTTCTTTGGTTTCAAAAGCTTTGTGTAGATTTCTTATTTGTACCATGTATTCTATAAGCCCACTAACATATTATTGTGGTTGTTGTTGTTTTACACCTTTAACTTACCTTGTAATGTCAAGTGAGGTTTTTCCAGTTGGAGAGAAGCAGCTACACATCGCGGTGGGGGAACAGGTGGTGTGCTGCTCAGGAGTGGCTCTGGTGAATCATTTTCTGGATTGTCTCCAGGAATGAACACATACAAGTCATCATACTGGTTCTCAGAAATATCACTGCCAAACTCTGTTGGGCTGTGCTGCGGCTCCTTGCCTAATTCATTTTCATTTTCTTCCTCTGCTGTTTCTTTTGCCTCAGCTCCTTCTATACCCAGCATGCATGTCTGCCAGCTTTCATGATGAAATGCTGCATTCTGTGTGGCTGTTTACGATAAAGATTTTATTATTTCCTTTAAATACACCATCTGGAGATATTTCATATTTTGTAGTTTCATCGGAAGTAGTAGTACTGCTAATAAAACTTTTATGAACTGATATAGTGAAAAGCTGTCAAACGTATAACATTGGTGAACAGTCATTTCTGGGTTTTTAAAATATTTACCAAATGAACAGTCAAAACTTCCATTATACCTTGCTACCTCAGTTTATGACATACTTATGCATCTAATATTCTGATTCTATGGAGTTATTGTTTGAATAGAGTCACATGTCTGATAGCATTATTGTATTTATATTAGAAAACAATATAACTGACCTAGTAAAATAGGCAATAAGTAAGTGATGGAAAAAATAAGTACAAGGAAACAAATAAACAAACGAACAAATCTTGACTTGCATATAAATTATGTAATAAAAATGAATCTTTGGCTCTTATTTAGTTATGATTTTAACAATATTTATCACCAGATGCTACCTTAATTTGTTGAAATTCTGCTTATGAAAAATGTTAATACTTTTGATGGTGAAGGTATCCAAATCATCATTAGTGGGTAAGTCTTTCCAAGGCTCAATTTTCTCACCTGTTAATGGTTTTTCTCTTGAAACTCACCAAATAATCCGGTCAAGTCTGTCCACTCTAAAATTTCTTTTAATTAGCTTTTTACTGTGATTTGGGTGAAAGTTTACAGAGTAAAATGGTTTTCTGTTCGTATGTTAGTACACATTTTCTTTCATAACATTATTTACAATCCCCATGATATAACAGCATTCTATTTCCTCTGTAATTACTGTTTCTTTTTGTCTTTCTTTCCTACCCATTCCTGCCTTTTGAGGTTTGTGGCTGTTGTTAGGTGCCTTTGAGTCAGCTCTGACACATAGCGACCTTATGTACAGCAGAATGAAGCGCTGCCCAATTCTACACCATCCTCACAATACTTGCTATGCTTGAGTCCATAGTTGCAGCCACTGTGTCAGTCCCTCTCTTTGAGGGTGTTTCCCTTTCTCTGCTTTACCAAGCATGATATCCTTCTTCAGGGACTGGTCTCTTGTGATAACATGACCAAAGAAGGTGAAACAAGTCTGACCATTCTTGCTTCTAAGGAGCAGTTGGCTGTACTTCATCCAGGACATATTGGTTCCTTTTTCTGGCAATCCATGGTCTTTTTACCAGTCATGGTGTTCTTTACCAACACCACAATTCAAAGGCATTAACTCTTCTTCAGTCTTTCATATTAATTGACCAGCTTTCACATTCATATGAAGCGATTGAAAATACCATGGTTTAGGCCAGCCACACCTAAGAGTGCATGACATCATTGCCCTTTAACACTTTAACGAGGTCTTTTGCAACAGATTTGGCTAGTGCAACACTACGTTTGATTTCTTGACTGTTGCTGCTATAGGTGGACTGTGGATCCAAATGAAATGAAATCCCTGACAACTTCAACCTTTTCTCCATTTATCATGATGTTGCCTATTGGTCCAGTTGTGAGGATTCTTGATTCCTTTATGTTGTGATATAATCCATACTGAAGGCTTTGATCTCCATCAGTAAGTGCTGCAAGTTCTTGTCACTTTCAGCAATGAAGGTTGTGTCATCTGCATATTGTGGGTTGTTAATGAGTCTTCCTACAAACCTATTCCCACTTTCTTCTTCATATATTCCAGCTTCTTAGATTATTTGTACAGCACACAGATTGAGTAAGCATGGTGAAAGGATACAATCCTGACACATATCGTTCCACCACACAGCATCCTTTGTTCTGTTCAAATAGCTCTTAGTCACTATACAGGTTATTCGTGCACAATGAAGTGTTCTAGAATTCCCATTCTTTGCAATGTTATCCATAATTTGTTATAATCTATACAGTCAAATGCTTTGGCATAGTCAAAAAACACAGGTAAACAACTCTCTGGTATTCTTTGCTTTCAGTCAGCATTCATCTGACATCAGCAATGATATCCCTTATCACATCCTCTTCTGAATCCAGCTTTAATTTCAGGAAATTCCCAGTCAATATAACACTACAACCATTTTTTAATTTTCTTCAGCAAAATTTACTTGCATGTGATATTAATGTTGTTGTTAGTTGCCATTGAGTTGGCTCCTACCATAGTGACCCTATGCACAACAGAACAAAACACTATCCTCTGTGCACCATCTTCACAATCCTTGTTATACTTGAGCCCATTGTTGCAGCCACTATGTCAGTCCATCTTATTGAGGGACTTCTCCTTTTTTGCTGATCCTCAAAAATGATATCCTTCTCTAGGGAATGGTCCCTTCATACAACATGACCCAAGGAGGTGAGACACAGTCTGGTCATTCTCCTTTCCAAGGAGCATTCTGGCTGCACTTTTTCCAGGAGAGATTTATTTATTCTTCTGGCAGTCCATGGTATTTTTGGTACTTTGTGCCAACACCACAACCAAAGGCATAAACTCTTCTTTGCTCTTCCTGTCTGTCTTGGTCTAGATACTCCACTAAAACCTGTCCACCATGAGTGACCCTGAAGGTATTTGAAGCACCTGTGGTATAGGCTCCAGCTTCATAGCAACATGCAAGCCACCACAGTATAACAAACTGACAGAGTGGTGGTGATATTAATAATACTTTTCATTGATTTTCACATTCTATTGGATCACTTTTCTTCAGAATAGGCATATATATTGATCTCTTCCAGTCAGTTGGCCAGGTAGCTGTCTTCCAAATCTCTTGGCATAAACAAGTCAGTGCCTCTAGCTCTGCATTTGTTTGTTGCTATGTCTCAGTGTCTCAGTGGGTATTCCATCAATTCCTGGAAACTTTTTTTTTTGGAAAATTCCTTCAGTGTAGCTTGGACTACTTCCTTCAATTCCATTGGTTCTTTTTTTTTTTTTTAATT